CCCAGCTCTTTTAGATTAAAGACAGTATGTAGATGCTGAGTAACCTCACTGATGCTGTCACTGTCATCCCCTGTCACAATCATGTCATCCACATAGATAAGAAGAACTGTAATCCCATGAATAGTCCGCCTAGTAAACAAAGAGGGGTCGCAGTTACTCTGTGTGAATCCTGCCTGCAGAATAGTACTATGGAATTTGTCAAACCAAGCTCTAGGAGCTTGCTTTAACCCATACAAAGAGCGATTCAATTTGCAGACTAGATCAGGATTACCCTTGGCATAACCGGGAGGACACTCCATATATACCACTTCCTTCATATCTCCGTGTAGAAAGGCATTTTTAACATCTAGTTGATGAAGAGGCCAGGACTTGCTTGCAGCAATAGCTAAAACACTTCGGACAGTATGCATCTTTGCAACCGGAGCAAACGTCTCGTCATAATCTATCCCAAATTCCTGTCGAAAACCTTGCGCAACCACACGAGCTCTAAACCGCTCAATCTCCCCATCTGGCTTGACCTTAATATTATAAACCCAGCGGCTGCCAATCACCAACATCTCCGGACGACGAGGAACTAAGTCCCATGTGTGATTAGCTTCCAAAGCTGCAAACTCCTCGTTCATAGCTCCATTCCAGTTGGGGTCATTCTTCGCGTCACGATAGTGCTTGGGAATGAGTGTAGATTCCGTAGAGAAGCCAACACAGTCATAATCAAGTAATCTACATGGAGGTTGTCCATGAGTGCTGCTAGGGGTGTCCATTTGGTTTTGGTTTTTTGGTTTTAACCGAAACCAAACCAATTGGAAAGCTAATGGTTTTGGTTTTTTGGTTTTAAACCAATAAGCAACTTAATGGTTTTGGTTTGGTTAAAACCGAAAAACCAATATAAACCAATAAGAATAAAATTATTTATCAACAAATATTTTTTCTTTTTTTTCTTTTGACACACATGCCAACCAATAATTTGTAAAGGCCATTTACCATTATTATGACGTTTATTCAATAAAAAGGAGGGAAATAGGAATAAATATGAGTGTATGAGTACATATTGGTTTTTTGGTTATCCAAACCAAAACCAAAACCATTAGGGCCCTTATTGGTTTTTGACAACAAAAAACCAATAAGGGCCTTAATGGTTTTGATTTTGGTTTTTGGTTTTTCATACTTAATGGTTTGGTTAACCAAACCAAACCAAATTGACAGCCCTAAGTGCTGCGTTGGGATCTTCTAAGTACAGGTAAAGGAGGAGGCGAAAGACTCATATGATCATGGGAAGAAGTTGCCGAAGTGGACGCACCAGTGGAATTGGAGGAAGAGGAATTATCCCCTGTAGAGGACATTTGGTGGGTAGATGACGAGGCGGCCGAAGTAGAATGAGAAGTAGAAGAAGTGGAAGCCTCGGAGGATGAGATTGATGAATAATTATGCCCTGCGGAAGGAGTGCTAGGAGGTGAAGTTCCCGAGAGGCTACCAGAGGAATCATCACCATCATTCGGCCCTTGATTCACCTGAGCGGGCACAACATCAAACGACGGCAGACTAGACAATAACTCAAGTGAGTTGTCTGCACGCGAACGATCATCAACTGGATAGTGCATCACTTGCTCCAAGAAGACGACATGGCACGAGATACGCATCCGGCGAGCAGCAGTATCATAGCATAAATATCCCTTATGCTGATCACTGTATCCCATGAAGACACATCTGGCCGTTTTAGGATCAAGTTTACTCCTCTCCTTTTTGGGAAGTAGAACAAAACACACACACCCGAATACCCGAAGAAAGGAATAGGATGGTTGCTTCTGATATAACATGTAATAAGGACAATGATTACCAATGGTTAATGAGGGCTGCCGATTGATTAAATACACCACGGTTTTAACTGCTTCAACCCAAAAACCGCGAGGTACACAAGAATGAAAGAGAAGTGCGCGGGTCAACTCGAGAACATGACGATTTTTGCGCTCAACAAGCCCATTTTGCTGTGAGACACCCGGGCATGATTGCTGAGACACGATTCCATGTGCCTTATAGAATTCCATCAGCTGATTCGTACTGAATTCTCCACCGGGATCATATCTGATGATCTTCACTGTGGTCTTGAACTGAGTTTGAATCATGCTAATGAATTCCTTAGCATACTGGATAAGCTCAGACTTCTGCCGCAGGAAATATACCCATGTGTACCTGGTCGCATGATCTACAAACAGAGCAAAATACCGATAGCCCAAGCGAGAGGTAACCGGAGATGGTCCCCACAAATCTGTATGAACCAAATCAAAGGCCGATTCATAGATAGTAGTGCTAGAAGAAAAGGAGGACTGAGAAGCCTTAGCTTCAATGCAGCTAACACAAGTAGAAGGAGACATTAAAACCGAAGAATCCATACGATCTGGCAATAAATTATTCTGAAACATACTGTATAAACGAGCAGTATGCGGGTGTCCCAACCGACAGTGCCAAAGATCCCAAATCGATGCCTTAACAGAAAAATCCGACTGGTTAACTGAACATCCTATAGACTCATGACAAGAAACAGAAGAACTCAAATTGTTTCTAGCAGTCATGCCTTGACCGCTGGAGCTGATCCAACACAAAAATCCGAACTTGTTTACTTCCCTTCCCTATCACTTTCCCGGTCCTCCGATCCTGCACAACACACCCGTCGGAATTAAAAGTGATTTTACAACCCTCTTCAGCTAACTGCCCAACGGAGACAAGACTAGGCACTAACTTCGGGACATAAAGAGTATTAAGGAGTGTCACACCAGGTGTAACTGTAGTACCAGAACCAGTAACAGGAATCTTATCACCATTAGCCACTTGCAGAGTAAGAGGAGCAGCGGACTTGAGTACCGAGAAATGTCTGGGCGAGTTCGTCATATGATTAAAAGCTGCGGAATCAATGAGCCAACGAGAACAATTACCTGAGGCAGCTCCAGTGGCGAATGAAGAACTCAAAGCAGCAGGCAAGACATCCTGAAGAGCTTCCTGGACAAGCTTGCGAACAGCCTCGGATGATAAAGAATGCCCGCCACCAGCAGCCTTGTCAGAAGAATTATGCGGAGCCGGCGCTGGCTAAACAGCATAACCAGACCCGGACGAGCGACCAGCAGCTCCCCCAGTGCGCTCACCACGACGCCCACGCCCTTTCTTTGCTGGGCAATCAGAAATTATGTGCCCCTTGGTCTTGCAATAGTTACAGAAGTTTCTCTTGGGACATAATGGCTGGATGTGATCCGGTTCATCACAATAATGGCAACGAATCTCCCCAGAATGACCTTGTTGAAACTGCGGACGAGAAGATCCTGATTTGTGGACCGCAAAGGCTGAACCACCAGTATTATCCAGGCCAGCCTCACTGTTCAGGCGAGTTTCCTCGCGAACGAGTTCCGCGAAGGCAGCATCAATAGTGGCAATGTTGCGATGGAGGAGAGAAGCACGCACGGCTTCGAACTCAGGCCTCAATCGCATGAGAAAGTGCATGAAGCGGGATCGACTTCTCTCCTTTACCATTTCAGCCGAGAGAGCATTAGGAGTCAGAGATGCCAAGAGCAAATCATATTCGGTCCATAGCTGAAGAGCGTTCTTGTAATAGGTACGGATATCCTGATCACCCTGAGCAAGGGAGGCAAGCTGAGTTTCCAGCTCAAATTGACGGGAAGTGTCATACTGGGAGTGGATGGAACAAATATGGTTCCACATTTCATGCGCAGACGAGAAACGACGGAGACCCAACGCGGTGGCGATATCCACCGAACCCAGCAACCAGGGCCGTCCCATGATATTAGGAGGCCCTGTTCGAAAATTTAAAATGTGGCCCTAAAAAAATTTTCCCGCAAATTTATTAAAAAATAAAAATTATTAAAAAAGTTGCATAAGCTCGGAAAATGATTACAAGAGGAATAATTGATCACGTTTCTAGTTTGACCAAGAAACCAATACCAAATTCCCAGTCCTAGTAGGGAGGGAAGTAAAGATGGAGGGAAGAGAAAATAGATATAGCGCAAAAATTGAATGGAGAAATGAAAATAGTCTAAATTGATCGCGAGAGGTGTGTACGGGGTTGTCTAATAGATCGTGGAGGCCATGTTCCAAAATTGAGATGTGATCCAAATTGAGTTTTAACTATAATAAAACTAAAATGATTATATTACCATTATTCAACATGTAATATCTTTCTATATTGTTTAAACTAAAATTATCTATTATCTCTATGATTTTCGTAGTCTTAATGAGATCATTTTTATTTGTTATTATAGCTAAAATTATCTATTAAACTCGTCATCATACTCATAATCAATCAATCATACACTAAAAATACAACCTACAATATACGATCGGTAACTAACTTATCTAAGTGGAGGCCCCAAATATTCGGAGGCCCTGTGCCGAAGGGCGGGCCAGCACACTCTCTAGGCCGGCCCTGCCAGCAACAAGTTGGTGACCTGGGCGTTTGCAGCCGCCCAGTCATCACGATCTTTCATAGGGGCCTCATCTACTGGCTTGGCATACTTGCCATTCAGAACAGGGAGTAAGCGCTTACCCTCAATGAGCGTTCGGAATTGAAACTCCCAAAGGGAGAAGTTTGTTCCGTCAAACTTAACCAAAGCCGCGTCAAGCCGAGAAGAATCCATGGAGTCGGCAGGAAAAAACAAAGGCGTGCAGATTGGATAATGAAGCACGAAAACCAGCACCCTCAACACTACAAAATAAACTCCCTACACCAGGGTTTTTTTTGGCTTTTAGCAAGGGAGTAAACGGTTGCTAACAATCCCGGAAGCGGTTTCTGAAACCGCTGGAAAACCGCCGGGAGACCGACCGCCGCAGATATATGACAGCAACCAGCCTAACCGCTGGTGATTGTTCTTGCGTCGGATATGAAGCGGTCACAATGGCTGGCAAATAACAGTGTGGGATTTTGCAACGGCAACAACAAGGACAGGTTTTTCCGTGACAATTTTACCAAATCCCAAGGAAAAAGGATTTATTTGAGATCATCACTAAAGATTTTGGCATAGTTTCCACCTATGCTGTATTTATATTTTCACATTTCCCTTCAAAAGTGATATTATAAGTTAACAAGGAAATTGAACAAATCCTACATATTTGAAACTCAAATCAACAATTTGCAATCAAAGGCATAATCTCAAAGCTGAATAAAGGTTTAAGTTCCAACAAGATCCACAAGGTCTCTTCTAAATCATCCACCTTATGTAGAACATGCCATCTTAACCTGTCAAGAAGCAAACCAAAATAAGCAAACGAAAAAGAACCCCTGGAAACACAAAACAAGAAAAATAAACAGACAGAGATGAAAATCACTTAAAACAAGATTGCCAAGCTACAGAAAGAACAATTTCCCGACAGTAAGAAACTTAATTCCAAGAACAAGATTCTATCACAAATCACATCTTCTCACCCAAAGATCATAATAAAAAAGGAACAAAGGAGTCCCCTGTACCAAAAAAAACTCTAATCATTCATCATGCTAGCTGGTTACACACTTCAAATTACTTATGAGTGTTTTACAGTATTGTCTTGCATTCCTGATGACATCATCTTTGCTTACACATTAACAGAGAAAGGCTTGCAAAAAAAGAAAACAAATGATATTCATTCTGTACCTTGTAGTCCTCATGCTCTCAAAGAACATTTTCCACAAGAACGATATGAGGGGTGCAATGCCACTCCCAGTCGCAAGCTGCAAAAAAGAGGAGTTCAACGCATAAAGCATAAGCATCTACTGGAACCCATGTAGAAGGCTTAAATTTGTATTACACTACAGAATGCATAAGAGCAGTTTACCATGACAATTGTGGCATTAGGGTCTTTTTGCATAAGCATTTCTTTCCCAACTGGTCCTGTGATTGAAACTTCTGCGCCAGGCTTCAAATCACCTGGAGTCGAGCATAAACACATACCGCAATTACTCACAAGCATTAAGCTCTAATCAACTGACCCATTTTCTTAATTGGAGACAAAAAATTTTGTTCTAGTCTCATGAGCTTACACAAGAAATTTGAGCAGACTCCCTTAACATTCTCTCCTTGGTCATTTGACGTAAACAAGCCTTTTCACACGAAACTCTGACCCTAGAAATAGCAAAAAAGGAAGAAAGTTCCGAGCAGGCAAGCGAAGGCATACTTCTTATCATTGATTCCAATAGATACTATGAAATCGCAGAGCTGAAATGATGACTCACCCGAGTTCAGCGCACAGCCGCAGTGGACGCCGGTGAGTTGGTGTAGTTAATCATCTTCCCAACAGTCTGAGCTGTGCAGATTTTGAAGATGCTCGAATTGGAGAGAAGGTCGGTAAGAGTTGGTGCCACTTTTGAAGATCGTAGAGGCGGCAGAGGGATCGCCCACATCATGTAATACATTGCTTTCATCTGAACATATCTTAACCTGTTACAAAACCATCCGAACACAAAGAATTCATCATGTAATACATTGCTTTCATCTGAAATTCACGTTAGTCTTTCAACTAGTTACTTTCTAATCCACATTAACTAGAAAGGAAAACTGACATGTCTCCTACGTCACTATGTCCAACCCAAGAGCTTTGATGCCACATCAGTTGTAGCATGGAGATCTGCAAACTATAAGGGCAAATGAACTAGTGAGAGTGCAAAAGACCAAATTAACCTCTTTCATATATGCTCACAGTAGGGATGGCCTTAAAAGCCAACAAAATGGAATCTGCCTTTAATGAATAAAATTGATAACAGTTAGTCAGCAACAAGAAAATGATTTCACACCCCTGAAGATGGCACCATAAATAAAAGTATATCATTTTTACTTTGATAAGTGATAGAAAAAAGTTAATACAAACTGGCATCTATATAATTTTGCATGGTAACCAAGTTGTAATTGATTCCTCCAAAAGGAGAAACTAAACAACAAAGATGCAGAGATACCATTAAAGGACAATAGAAAATTTGTCTGACAAAATTTTTGAAAATCATATGAAAGCATTTTAATGAAACTGAAAGTGATTTTCAATTTAAATGCTAACCTCCTCTGCAGAGACAATAATAACCGGATCTGACTCACCATGATCTTGTCCCTCAACTGTGTTTGCAACTAGCTTCAAGTAAAATGAAGTTAGAGTGAGATGAAACATTTAAAGAGATTCGTATCCAATAAAGTTAAGGACATTCCACTAGAATTCAGAGTTGGATTTCAATAATGCTTTCACACACTCAATTCTTACTTTGAACTCATGCTATTCAAAAATGCTTTCACATTCTATAGTTCACACCTGCATAAGTTATAAGACCACAAAGAATGATGAATCATAAGAGGAAGCAAGAAATACATAATATACATAATCAATCAGAAAGTTCTAAAGCACACCTGCATATTTTCAATTTCGGCTAGCATATGGTCTCATTCTTGCTGCAGTCAAATAAGCAATCCAATAAAATGGAACTTGAGCAGCAAATAAAACAAAATACTTTTCCTTCATTCTTTCCTTTTCCATTGCAGCATAATTCGATAGCATGTATTGCTTGATTAGCATTGCCTTGATCTCTCATGTTGGCAAGTATGTTGAAGATTCCAATGGTTTACCAATGCTTGAAACTAGAAGTCTGTAAATATGAGAAAGATGTCACAAGCAGTAGCTCAAACTAAAAACAGTCTGTATAGTTGGATTTCAAACTGCTTTGGCTGTATTGAATGACAAAGAATATAATGACAGGAAGCTAGTCTATCTCATTAATTTGGGAAGAAAAACATCTGGGGATCGAATCCTACCCTATTAGTCTTAAGAACCTGACTAAATCCCATCGAAGGAAGTTTGATCTGGTCGAAGTCTGTTCTTCTCCCCAGTCCCCACCACTTAGTAAGGATTTCATTGGTAGGCTCAATCTCTTCTTTCATCATTGTGCTTGAGAGTCCCAAGTGAGCAGAGTATTTTATGGTTTCTCTCACAGTGAGACTCCCCAGCAGTGTATTTTTCTTGTCTTACATAACCCTGAAAACAAAAAATCCAAATGAGGAAATAGAGTGGCTATTTATTAGGCTTCTGTGATCTAGATCTCCTAGTACTCTAACTCAATTGATCACCAAAGTAAGAATACCAAACTAAATGAATAATATGATGATTGTTTGTAGCTAATCTACTATAACAATTATATAGTTTTAAAGATAGAATCTTGACTCTCACCTACTGATCCATTTTCCCCATCAACGTCACATGGAAAACAGAAGGGAAAACATTGCACAAATATAATGATTCACAATCTTCTAGTCCTTCGGTTATTATTACAGCTAGCTTAAAGCTGAAAGAAGCAGAGTGAGTGAGATAAAACGATTAACAGAAAACTCATATCTGACTAAAGTTAAGAACATTTGATTAAAATTTTGATGAATTAGATGAGTAATACATGCAGACTCACATCATTCTCATCAAAATCTCAAACCCAAGACCCAGAGTTGTTTAGCTCAATAAGAAAGTACATTCAGCTCTTCCTAATTCAAGCAAGAGATTTATGCCCAATTCTAATCACAGGTATGTAGATCTAATTGATACGAATTCAATTATCCAAACATCACAAATACCAAACCCTAATTAACTCTTACAAGGCCTTACCTCGAGTGAGCTTGCTCCAAATCCTACTTCTCCTCAGCGCACACCACTGAGAAGGGAAATGGTGGCCGGACCAGGATTCCACGAAGCTTAGAGCTCTAGGTAGGGAAGAGAGATCTGTCCGGTGATGGTGAGTTCAACTGAGTAGACAGGGACATCGCCCGAAGTAGTGAGCTAGCGAAGGTCTAAGCTTCAAGCCACAAAGATCAGAGAAGGAGGGGCGAAGATCATGGATTTTATCGAAGATTGAGATTCTCGTGTGCGATGGCGTTAGGGTTTTGACGTGCTGGAGTGGGGAGAAAAGAAATTGATTTTTGGAAAGTATGGGAATCGGGGGAAGTTTTAAGGGGAGGTAGCAATTGACAGTCAATAAAATTGGGCCGGCAGGCGAACTAATTGGGCCGGGTTAGAATAGGTGGATTTGGAGATTTGTCCATGAAGCGGTTTCCGTAACCGCAGCTTAGAATGGTGCATAGAATAAATAATGCAAAATCCGGCGGCGATTCTTACAACCGCTGGAAGACGACTGCCGTTGTAGGTTAGTTTTGTTGTAGTGCAAATGTAGCTGAGGAAAGAGCTAGAGGGAAGACAACAAACTCGGCGGCGATCACCAAAGAGCTGCGTGCGGCAACCCTAAAACCCGATGTGATCAATAACCTGGACCAAAATTATGATGACGAAATCAACGAATCTCAATTGCGAGGCTCTGATACCATGTCAAAGAATCAAGAACATGAATCGAAAGAACACAAAGACTTTTTTAACGTGGTATCGTCAGTGTGACACTAGTCCACGAAGAGGATCTCCCTCTCAGGTTTTAGGTTTTCTTATTTCGTTAAGTCTCCAGTACAGTTTACAGTCATATATATAGGTTGTGAATACAACCCTTATTCCGAGAGGCCATTTACAAATAGGTACCTACAATTAACAACATGACTAGTTCATACATCATGTCAAACATTGTCCGATATCCAGCCTTAATAGAGGACTTGGATTTCTTGTCTTGCTTTTTACATCTTCAAGAAATAAACATCCAAATTGAACACTTTACCTTATAATTTACCGTCCAGTATCAATACAACTAGCAACGTAAGAATCATAATAAGCACGTAGATTAGCAGATGATTAGTTGGGAAAAATATACTCACATCGCATATTCCTTATTACTACACATATCGAAAAGTACGGTGAAAAGATGAATATATGATCTACATAAGGAGCTGCAAATTCCTTTGTTAGCAGCTAATAGTATCTACCTTTAACATCTTTCGCTAAAGAGATTAGCAATAACTGTATTAGTGAGGTATGTTTATGCACCACTATATACCTATTGAGGTCGTAAATAACTTTACCATAACAAATGTCCTTATATTAGTCTCTATAAACTTCTATTTTCTGAAGTGAACATTTGAATTTGTAGATCGTTTTTATGAGCACAAAGAGTAGGTACATGCTCAAAAAGTCATAGATCCTAACCTAGGGATGGACTTGATGATTCATTTGTCTTCTTAGGTTGTTCGTCGGAGATTACCTCAGACAAAGAATGACTATATATGTTGAATAAACCCATCATATAGTTTTCGCATCTTATAACAAATGTGTAACGTCTATGTTTTCACTAGTCTTTTAGGTGAAAAAGTCCGAAGAAAATTCTCAAATGAACATACTAAAACAAACAGAACAGTGTGCTAATAAAGAGTGAATTTTTTTATCGAGCTAGAGAGGAGACACGTACACAGGGATGAAGATCCTTAATTGCCATTAATTAAACACTACCCATGTACACCAAAGAGATCCTTTCTTTCTCTTAGTCAAGAAAGACACAGACATGCTCCAACCCCAGAAAGGCCGGCTTTGCTATTCGAAACAAGAAATTAGGACAAATATTACGGCAAAATAACCAGGTAATTAGCAAACGCAGCTGGAAATTAACCTTGAAAACATCAAGTTATTATCTCTCTCTCTGTGTTTCTTTTCTCAGCCAACCGAGCCCACAGCGTGATCCTCCACCACCCTCACACACTTTGGATGCAGCTCATACCCGCAATCCAAACACTGGTACGCCCAACCCAGCCCTTGCTCCTCGCAATTGCAGCATATGAACGGCCCGCCGCCGGTCTCCTGCGACACCAGCGTCAGCTCGTGCCGGTGCCCTCCGTGGAGCTTCGTCCTCGGCAGGTTCTTCGCCTCCTCGTCCATCTGCTTCTCAAGGAACTCCACCTTCGAATCCGTAAACGGGAACGCGTTCTCCTGGTACAGGTTGATCAGGCTCCTCCCGTTCGTCGTGATCGTCTTGCCGTCGGGCCCCAGGATCACGAGGCAGGGGATCCCCTGCACGTCGAAGTGCTTCGCGAGCGTCTTGATGTTCGAGTCCCCGAATGGCAGCGCCAGCCACGGCATCTGGGCGTAGTACGAGGCGAACGATGGTTCGTCGCGATCGTTCGACACGAACACGATCTCGAAGTTATCGTTCTCGTCGTGGTTCGACTTGATCTTGTGGTAGATCGGGACGAGCTTCGGGGTGAATTTCTCGCAGGGCAGGCACCATTGAGCCGAGAAGTAGAGCCCGATCGTTTTGCCTACCAGCGATGCTACGGACACCTGCAGCAAACCACACACACCAGACATTGTATTTTAAAACGCCCCTGATTCAATTTTCCCGCCAATTCAACTAGCCAATGGAAAACTTTGTTTTACCTGTCTCGCTCCATGGTGACTCAGAACATAGTCTCTATTGTGATTGGTCAGCAAATTAACGAGCGTCTGGCTGTCGTGCTTCTCCTTCTCTTCCCTCTCCAGCTGCTCCAGCCTCTGCTTGGTGAACGGGAAAGCGTTCATGCCGAATCGGTACAGCAATTCGACGCCGTTTCTGAGCGCCATTCCCTCGATGTCTTTCCCCGACCCAGGCTGCAGGATCACGAGGCAGGGGATCCCTTCGATCTCGAACTTTCGGTTCAGCGATTTCTTGGTCTCGAGATCGGAGAAGGGGATCGAGAGCCAGGGCATCATGGCGCGGTAGCCGTCGAATGCGTTGGAGTCTTCGTCGCAGGAGATGAAGACGATCTCGAAATTGGAGCCGTTGGTGTGCTTCAGCTGCTCGTAGGCGCCGATCAGGAATTGGTTGAAGTTTCGGCATGGCGGGTACCAGTTAGCTGAGAAGTATAGTGCCACTACTTTGCCTTCTAGGTCCGAGATCTTCACCTGCAAGAATTAATGAACACGTTAAGATAAATAAATAGGATCAGTTAGTTCAAGTTCATCTCAAATTAGATGGTCAAATCTCAAATAGGATCAGTTAGTTCAAGGATCATTTATTTCTCTAAAAACAAAAATTACATAAAACAAAAGCCAATAAGATAAGAACACGTGGCTGGACAGCCTGAGCGAGTCTGGAAGCAAGCTTCACCCAAATATTGCCACGAACTCCGTTACGACGGAAGGAAACGCGCAGGGAGAAGTTGAAGGCCCAACAAGCAACCTTTTTTTTAGCACCGACAGGGAACCCAACAAGAATCTGAAAAGCCCAAAAATTTGGCCCCAATTGGGAAAACGACAAAACCTATAAAAGGAACGATAGCAACGGGCCAACAAAAAGATTTCCGATATTTGGTGAGCTAGCGGTTGACGCGAGGACACGTGGGTGTACTTGTGACGTGAGTGTCTGCCTAAGAACAGATTTTTGGGGTTTGGGCAGAAGTAGGACGCGTGTACTTTTCGGCCCAGAATTTGGGCTGGCCTTTCCGGTCACGGAATCATAACTACGCCGAAACGTGTCCGCCGTATAAAGCCCATCATTCAAAATCAAAGTCATTTAAATCATTTTTAAGAGAAAAAAATCAAATTTATCGGAAAGTGGTTTTGGCCTGCCATTAAATTGGCCTGTTGCGACAAGATCCCTAATCATCAAAATTTAATGAATCTAATTTTTTTTTAGTCTTTTACATGTTACCCCATAAGGAAAAGTCTACCCCATAAGATTTCAAATGTATCTATGAATTCACAATATATGTGATAATATCACTAGATCAATCTTTTCGTTTTTTTATGAAAAGAGGCTAGATCAAGCCTTTAGTTTACCCTTAGAAAATACTATCAATCATTCCATCTATTTATTTATTTATTTATTATTATTATTATTATTATTATTATTCCAACAAATTAGTCCTTAATTATTGGCAAATACGGCCAAATTCAGCAATTAAAGCTTGCGTGTACTACCCATAATCTTGTCTATGATGGGATCGGATGAGAGGCAGAGGCATGCAGCTAGCCAGCCAAAAAAGTCCAATAAACAACACTAGAGGATTATGCTAATTACTAATCAATTTAAGACTACCTGAAAATCACATGATTAAAGCTACTAATCAATCCTGATCATTATTTTCCCCATTATTATCGACAAGAAGCCTCGATCCATGACGGACACCTCATCAACTAATAATTAAAGCTTCATAATTATTTTTCAGGTGGAAGAAAGGTATTCATTCAATATAAATTTCCCCCCCTAAAATGACAAAAGCAAACCCTACACGTGTATGGCCGTGGACGAGCTTTGACCCGCCCTATCGGTTGGTTAACTCACTTCCTCACCTAAATCTTTATCAAAGAAATTAATTTTTAACTCAAAATCTCAAAGAATGAAAAAAAAAATCCTCATCTCATCTTATGCACAAGAAGATGAAGGAAGAAGAAAACCCCACAGTTCTCCAATCGATAAATCGGTACGATTTTATCACGATATTAAATCGATTTTACGATCCTACTTCTGTTCATACGTAGAGGCATTGATCTTCTATCCATGCTCCTGAAAATTTTCTACAGATCCCACCAAGAGATTTGAGTATATGATCCTTTCTAAACAGAAAATTAATTAGACTTTTTATGAGTTGTACGGCGGATAATTCTCGAGGATAATCCAACGAGCAAATATGCTTCAATTAGTTATCTTAACTAGGGGTTGAAAAGAGGAAGAATCTCTCTTAATTCCCATTCTTCCTAGCACTACGTACGCCTCCAGAATCCCGAAAGAAGATTCAATCACAAACAGTTAATTATAGCTACTTAACTGTACTTAGCGCAGTTGATTAAGATGCTGATAACAGTAATTTGCCAAGGAAGAGAAGACAAATTTTTTTTTGTTGAGCTTAATTAATTACCTGAGTTCCATCTAGGGAGAGGAGATAATCGCGGTCTTTAGAACCCAAGAGAGACGCTAATCTCGAGCTGGTCGGAGCCGGTGGTGAGTCGCCGGAGCCATTCTCTTGGCCTGCCGCGGCGGCGGCGTTGAGGCTCACCTCTTGGACTTCCGCTCCCATCCTCATGATTTCTCTCTCTAGCTTGAGTCTCTCTCTCTCTCTCTCTCTCTCTCTCTCTTACTCTTCTACTCTGTGTGGGTTTATTAATGGAGCAGAGTGGGTCTGCGTGCTGTCCTTGTACTCCAGTGCTTTTATATTCCACAGGAGCTCAAGGAAAAAAGAATCCTATTCTGATCCACGTCATCATCATTTCTTCGATATATATTCCTAGTATATTGTCAATATTTATTTTAAACGAGGAAAAGTTGGATTTTTCTAATGCGCTTTCCCTATACTTTTTTTTGACAAGGCACTTTCCCTATACTTAGAGAGCTAATTTTTTTAATTTACTGATCTTATTTGGGGAAATGGGTTCACTGAAAAAAAAAATACAAAGAATTTGGGATTTTGTTAGTTTTGAGATGTGTATGCTGCTATTTAAGGAAAAGGGGGGAAAAGGCTCACTTATGTAGTTATGTGCCCTTAGGACACATGTAAAGATAAGGGCTTGTTTGGGTTCAATATTGTTGAGGTAGGTAGATGGTTGATATATCAGTGTATTTTACTACTTGTAGTTGTTGATGGATTGTCAACTAATGGAAATTTAGCTCTCGTCTGGTTTCTTCGATTGTTAAATTGATGTGTTGTGAACTTGTGATTCATATGTGTATTGTTTAATTTGGTTTGTTGTATATTAAAGCATATGATATATGTGATTTTGTTTTTAATAATTAAAAATGAAAGTCATTATTTAACGAAGATGTCACTTGTACTCCTTCGTTACGATGCAAATGGTAATTTTTTTAGATGGAATGCGAAAGGTAATTTCTAAAAATCAAATTTGAAAGAGAAAAAAGAAAGAAAACAACTCAACCCAAAACTTAGATCATACAATTATTTGTTATGAATTATTGTTTCTATCACGTCAACTAATCACATATATTGTTTGTACATAAAAAAACCTAAAACAATAAATTGTTAACGAATTATATCAATCACATCTAAACAATACATAAACCAAAGGACCTTAATTACAAAGTTTGATCATGATCACGAGCTTGGTATAGTATCCCCGGTCTCAAATGACATTTGCCTATTCCACAATCCTACTAGATTCCTAAGTACTTGAAAATTGTGTTGATATATCAGCTCATTTGCTTGCATTATAGCTCATTCGAACGAATGACTAAGCATATATTCCACAATGCCAACACAAACAATCCTAAGTTAGAAAGAATACTAAATTTAAAATGCCACTTGTCATCTTATTGTAGGACGATGATCAAACACTAATAAAGTACTATTCTTACAAAGTTAGTTTTTGTTGTTGTCAAAATCAGATGTCCCATGACAATATAGTTGTGATTCCAAATTATAAAATTGTACAACAAATTGTATCAAAATATTGATTAACTTCCTTCAGAATTATTTTTGTCACCATACCAAATAATTATATATATATATATATAGACTCATTTTAATCCATAATTCATTGTAATCAATTATCACCATATTTTACTACCAAAACGAACCTTATACAATTATCGATAAATTAATCCCCCAATTCTCTTCTCCTTCCATTGCACGGGACGTCGGAGCCTTACAGTGAGTACATAGCGAACTATTCCTTCCATTGCCCGTCCGTTTTCACGCCATAGGACATCATATTGTGGGGCAATTGCCAGTTTTCACCACTAGGAATCACTACCCAACAACTCCATTTCGTTTCCCATGGTCCATGAAATCATATCGTATCGGGGTTCAGGCACAAAATACCAGTATCAGAGGCTAAATCGATAGGCGGTATTTAACAATACTAACGTTTAAACTACGATTCAACCACGATTCTTCCATAAAATACCCTACCGCTGACTTTTCATCTAACATGTTTTTTTTTTCTTCATGAGGAAAGGCATCTAAGATCATTTCCCCAATCAAATACGACAAGACTGGAAACTTATAGAAAGTTGAAACTTCACCACCCTACCGTCCCAATTCCCACCTCCCCCCCACAAATAATGCAAACTTCACCAGCCCCCACTCTTCCACTCATAGATATTCAATGGACGGCTCAGATCTGTTTCCACCGCCACGCGTACAGTCGTATATGGCGCCAAGTAAGCTGCGGTTGCCGCCTGTCCGTATCGGATCATAACTGGCAGTCCTTTGCTTGCTAGCTTCTTGGTCCCTGCGAGGGGCATGGCCCTTCGCTATCATAGAAAGACCGAATTTAGAGGCCGTATGATAAAGGGTAAGCCTTATTTTAGGGGACACCTGTCCGACTTTATGATTGCGTTTCTGGCTTTTATTCTTTTTTTCCTTTTTCTTTGGCGTGGAAAATATACAATGGGCCTATGTTTGGGCCTAGGGATGGCAACAAAATCCGAACCCACGGGTACCCACCCGACCCAACCCGGTCAACGCGGGTAAAATCCGTGTTGACGGGTTTTGGGCCGGGTTTGGGTTTAAACCCGTTCACTATTCACCGGGTTGAGTTGGGTTTGGGTTTAGGTAAACCCGGCCCGTGGATACCCGCCCACCCATATAATTAATTTTTCGGTATATTTAATATTCTAAACAACTAATCTTATTTATGTTTGTGGAGACATGTCTAATTTTTTCTTTTTAATTGTGTAGAATGAAGTTGATGTTATGGAGTAGAGAGTAAAGAAACTTAATTGAAAGGAAGAAGCTTTCAATTAAACATGTTATTTATGGATAATTTGTGATTTGCTTCAATTTTCTTGAGTTTTCTAGATTGGTGTTGAACAATTTGTATAGTTAATTTGTGATTTGCTTGAATTTTCTAGAATGGTGTTTTATATATGGATAAGTTGTATTGAGAAATTGATATTTGACTTTAATTTTGATAAGAACTTGTAATTGTAAATTTTTTACGACAAAACCCGTGGGTACCCATGAACCCGCGGATACCCAACGGGTTGGGTTGGGTTTGAGTTTTTCAAACCCAGTGGGTTTTACTCCGGGTTTTTTTCAAAGATAAACCCATGGGTTTGGGTTTGGGTTTGGCAAAACCCGAACCAACCCGACCCATTGCCATCCCTATTTGGGCCTACATGGGTCGTGTCACTGTGGCCTAGAACTTCTGTTCTTTTGATCTCTAATTGTGTTTTTCTTTTTTGGATGGGTTATAGGTAGAATATGCCCCTCTACTATGACGTTTTATCAAACATGTCCTTCTACTATTTTCTACATCAAATATGCCCCTGTATTTGAAAAAATTATCAAACATGCCCTTATGTTAAAATTTTCATTGAAAAAATCGTCAATCGTGGTTGAACCGAGATTTAGATGACCCGACATCGACAAATGGGAGGAAAAATGTCAGTTTTGTTCCCTGTTTTATTTCACAAGGTCTTTTCAAAGTGAAATTATTTGAATGATTTGATTATACAAAAGAACGAAAAAAATTCTAAAGTGAATTTATTATGGATATTTTAGTCATTTGTGTCGCCCAAACTAAAGTTCGGCCTTGGTTAACGGTTTTTGGATGAAAATTTTAACAAAAGGACATGTTTGATCATTTTTACAAAGTACAGGGGCATGTTTGATGTAAAAAATAGTAGAGGGGCATGTTTGATAAAGCGTCATAGTAGAGGGGCATATTATACCTATAACTCTTTTTGGATTGATAAGATCTCTAATATAAAGAAGGTAAATTCAATTTTTTTCAATTTAACGAGAATTCATTTATAGTAAAAGGAGTTGGGATTTGGGAAGTCCTAATTATAAAAATATATCTATGCAACTAACTTATGTAAATTCCGGTGGAGGAAGTTAGAGTTTACTCTCTATGTAAGCTAGCGCCTACCGAACATGATGGCTGTACCATTTCGGTCGAAAGGAAGTCCAGTGGGCCCAGAGAAGGGCCAATGGCCCATTTGGCGCCTTCTCGTGATGCAGGCTCCGTTTTGGTCGCACGTCAAAAGAATTTCTTTTTGAGGGCTTAGCTTGCATTTCTCTCTGTCTGCCATTTGGGGCATGTTTAAGAAGTGTACGTTTCTTATTCATCTTATACCTGCATACTGTTGTATCTGACGATAAGATTCTTGGAAGTCTCAAGAGATCTGCTCAATTATGTGGAAATGACATAAATCTGATGCGATCTCCGATTATGGTGGTCACATTCCATACAGAAGAAGAACATGCTCACAAGACATACAGCTGTTGTATCGCGCGTTAGATGTTATGTGGGCCATTAGATGGATGCGGATACGTGATGATATTGTACAAAATTATCACCGCGTCCATTCAATGGTACAATGCGTTCCTTGTGAATGTGATCAAACAAGAACAGTATTGCAGTTCTGCAAACATGAACGATTAATTATCGGTATACAACGTACGTAACTAAGAGATACTATTATTAAATTACACTAGTAGATACGTATTGCTTGCTTCCTTATCTTGGGAACTCCTAAACATGATGCAACATTGCTGTGAAGTAGGCTGTAACTGTAAGGCACTACACTTTTAGGAACCAATCATGCATCAAACCATTTGGTAAAGACACGCGGCGAAATTTTGCTATGCCTTTCTTTGTTTCTATATGGGGCCTGGTTCTCCCTTTTCCAGTAATGAAGAAAAACACTCTCTAGGGTTCACATTAGGATCGCAAATCGTTTCATATATGCAATCGTCATAAGTCATGACTACATCGAAATAAGAGATCTCATGAAGAATGTGATGTTTCTTTATGAAGGATTTGCAGTTTGAACTATTAATGGTGATAGAATGAGGTTTGATGATTGAGTCGCGACGCAAATGGATCATTATCATATAAGTGAAATAAATTCTCGTATTAGAATACTTGAAGGATTAAATGTTGTTAAAGAGAATTATGAATGTTTCGATTGATGTTTTTGTAGCTAACCATTCTTGTAGTGGATGCTCCTTAAGGTACTTAACTAGTTAAATCTAACTTAGTTTATTAAAGACGATGACTCTTCCTTCTTATTGGAGTATTTGTCTAATTTTGTAATTAGTTAATTCTCTGTTCTTAGTTTATGAAAGACTTTGTGCTCGAGTCCGTGTAATGATGGTGATTTCATGCATCTCATTTGAGTATAAAGATTTGTCCAAGTTTATGTTCATTTG